CCTCTGTGCGAATTTGCAATAGATGGTGAAGCATAAGGTTTAGTGCTTCTGGACACTGTATATCAAGATTTTCCATGAAATGAAGCAAAGAACAACCATCCACAAACAACATCCAAGCAAGGTCATTGTCATCATACTTCCCTTCCAATATCACGTCATCAGCAAACTCTTTCTTCAATTCTTCCATGTTACCTTCTATTCTTTTAAGCAAAACTTGTGTCACTTCATCCGAATCTCGATTTTCATTGTATTTTGCAACAAACTTTGATGTCTATAGAAGTTTATAATGCTCTCCTTCCTTTAGAATTTCACTACCATGATGGATGGGACCAAATGATATCATCTTTGGTATACAATACTTCACAAACCTGTCATTACGTCGCAACAAAAGAGGTACCCTTTGGATCTTGGGACTTGAAATTCTGTTCTTGAAAAATCTTTGTTCAGCCTTTTTTAGTTGGGCAAGCTTCTCATCAAATTTTCTGCTCATCGTTGAAGAGTTGGCTGGTCTCCAAAATTTTTGCTAAGATTCCTTGTGTTTTTTCCAGAACTATCTAATACAAATACAAATTTTATAAATTAGAGGCACAACATAAGGGGAGTGTATTGGATTAGGATTTTAAAGGACTTTTTTAACTAAAAAAAATCATGCGGATTTTAAAAGATTTTGTAGGATTTTCATGACTTTTAAGATTTTGCAGGATTTACAAGACTTAAAATCAAGATTTTAATGGATTTTGCAAGACTTTTAAATCAGGATTTTAATGGATTCTGTGGAATTTTGTGGATTTTGTAGAATTTTCGTAGATTTTTGACATTTGATAAAATTTTAAAAAAAATTCATACATTCAAATTTAAAATATATTGTTTTAACTTTTTAATAATTATCTTGAATCAAAATATTTTTTAGATGTCATTATCAAATGAGAGCATTTTTATTATATTTTTCTTCGGGATATTTTTGGTAACTTCTTTATAACACTTTTATCGTTAATAATAGTATATCACTTAAATCTACTCATATATAAAAAAAATCATGTTCATTTTTTAAATAAAATTAATTTTATTTAAATTATCTTATCAATAATAATCTCTTTATATCTCTCTGTATATTCAAATAACTTTCTTGAACCTGAGATTTTCTTTATTAAGTCCTTTTTTTTTATAAAATCTAAAGTTTTTATCATCTTTTAATTTATCATTTTCATCTTCATTTCTAAATTAAACTTTAATTCTTTTAAAAGAAAGTATTAATAGTTAAAAATAAATTATATCACAATATAAATTAGATAAGATAAAATTAAAATATAATTTATATGGTTAAGAATAATTATTTATTATAAATTTTACATTTGAAAGTACTTATTTATTATAATTTTTGTCATATAAAATAAAAATTTATCTTGTAAATTGCGCCAAATAAATTACTAATTATAATCAAATTTATATATTTAAAAGCATTTATTTGTTATAAAATTTTGTTATATAAAATAAATATTTATCATGGACCTAAACACTACAAATCTACCGTATAATAATAGTTTGAGTAAAATTTTCACAATGAACTCTATTGTTCTTGATGTCATTATAATTCTTATTGATTTATAAAAAGAATAAAAATAAAAAAAGAGAGTAAAGACTATATTAAAAGTAAAGTTGTGTCTATTCAGTTATTTTTATATATTGAGTAAACACCTAATTTAGTCCCTAAAAGATGACAGAGGTGGTCGATAAGTTCTTAGAAGATTTTTTGTGGGATTTTAATGGATTCTGTGGAATTTTGTGGATTTTGTAGAATTTTCGTAGATTTTTGACATTTGATAAAATTTTAAAAAAAATTCATACATTCAAATTTAAAAAGAGTCAAAGAAAAAAATAATAAAAAATAATAATGTCCAGATAAATAATAATAATAATAAT